ATATATATATTCTAGAGCAATATTTTAACCAAAATCAATGCCAAATTTCCAAATTTGTAAGCAAAGACAGGAGCAGTGTTAGCCCTTTCCTATGCTCCAGTTCCCAGTATGAGTTTGAAAGACACCTTACCGATCCTGTTACAATCTTAGCTTACTCCCTCCCACCTCCAACCTTTAGCTAAACATGACAGGATTGTGGCTAGAGGGCCAGCATCCAGCCTGGCCTAGCTTACCAAGAGCTGCTTAACATTTTCTGGCATTATCAGACCAACTCCAGGCTGGGTAAGTTCTTCACAGCCTGTTGGCCCTTCTCAGGATGCTTCGCAAATCAGAGCTGGAAATAAAGCTGGGGGCCACTGTCCCCTAAAGACTGGTCCACCGCCCTTTCCCAGAATTCCCTGTGGCCCTTCCCAGAATGCCCTGCAAACTACCGCTGGAGCTATTACCACCTAACTGATCCAGAAACTTCACCAATGGACCTCTCTGGGAACCATGATCACTTCTGGAATTGGAGTGCAACGGGCCTTGGTACCTACACCTGGAAGGATACACTGGTTATGTCTGTGTACCTCCTGCTGGTCTTGTACATTGGCCTACGGGTATGGATGGCCCAGGGTATGGGTGGGCAGAGTTGAGACTTGGGTGGGTTTGACTCCTCCGGGCCATTACCTGGTCCCCACTTTGCATCCTGGCCTCTGCTTAGGCACAGCCCTCAGAGGCGATTACTCTACTCTGTGCTTAGCTACTCCCTACCCTTCCAGCCAAGAATCACACACATACACATGCCCTGCTAACCCCCAAATAATCAAATGGATCAAATGCTCCTATGCCTACCCACTGCCTGGAACATAAGGAGTCCTTGTTATGATAACCAAGACGATACTGGTAATCCAACCACGTCGTTAATAACAGTCTGCCCCTCCCTATTTGGGAGTTCCGCATCTGCAGATTCAACCATTAATATGGAAAATATTTTTAATAAATTGAGTCTAGCAGGCTGTCCCCACTATGGCGTCGCTGGGATTCTATGGGCCAGGCTGTAACGGTCCTCAGTTCAGAGCCGCCGGAGAGGGCTCGGAAAAAGCTCTTCCCAAGGCGACGCCACCTAGTGGTGGAGGCAGCGGGGGACCCCAAGATGGACCCTCTCACTGGCGCCGCCTCCTCCGCCTGGGCGGGCCCGGCTGTGGGGGGCCCGAGGCTGGGCAGGGAGGGGCGGACATCATCTTTGAGGGAGGAGACAAGGTCGCAGCGGTGCCGGGCAAGGTGTCGCCCTCAGAGGCTGGGGGCTGGCGGTCTTAGCCCCCGAGGCCACTGAGGAGAGAGGGGCATCCTTGCTCCAGCCACCCTGGGATTTCAGCCCAGTTCTGCTGTGCCTGAGGGTTCAATCCCTGCAGCACGAGCGAGGAGGGAGAGCGGGGAGAGAAAGAGAGAGAAGGAGGGGCAAGAATGGGTTTGGTAAATAAATGAATGAATGTTTAAGGCACGTTGCCTGAGGAGCAGTCTGGTTTCTTGTGCTCCATTTAGAGTGTTTTTGGTTTTGTTTTAGGCTTTATCAAGAGATCGTTCAACAGTGAAAGGTTTCTTCCTAGCTGACCAAAATCTGCCGTGGTGGCTGGTGAGTAAGCCTCGCATACGGCAATCCACCTGGGGGAGGAAGTTTGTGTTCGCTGCCTTGTTGGTTTAGATGTCTCACACCCAAATAATTTGAAGTTGCTAAATGTAATCAGTAGTTCCCTCGACTCTTAAGTATTTTCTTATCTAAATGTTTCTATTCAACTCTGTTTAGTTGACCATTTATTGGGTAGTTTTGTTCAACAAAGCGTTGTTCTAGGCCCCGGGACATAGAGGAAAATAGACAGCCCTACTGTGTGGAACGGCAGAGCACAGGATTAGAGTGCAGGACTAGAAGTGCATGCGACAGGTAACCTTGGGTTTACTGGGTAGAGCACCGCAGGAAAGGTCTTACAGAGGTGGGATTGTGTGAGCGGGCCTGGCAGGCAGCGTGTTTTCCAGGTAAGCTGAGTGTGAGGGCATTCCAGGCAGAGGGACAGCCTGTGCCAAAGCATGGAGGTGAAGCCTGATGCTCCATACAGAAAGGCAGGAAAGTAAGAACGTTTTTGTTGCAGTTGTTGTTAAATAATTTACTGAGTATACAAAACGATTCTGTACAATAAGAGGGATGCAAAATCCAGACCACAGAGGCAGCTGGCCATCCACAGCCCTGTATCTTGGGGTGGGTGCGGCAGGGAACAAAAGAATATGGGCACTCATGCCAGGCTTGAACAAGGGCCACGTTGTAATTTCCTATGTACAAAAATATGCATGCATTTCCCACACAGGAATCCGAGGTACATCTAGGAATCGAGCAAAACTCGGGCTCTCGTTTAATCATTTATTCTCTGTCCTCAAATATTAGCCAGGCTTATGGAAAGGATTTGGTTTTGTTACCAGGTTGGAGGGTCTTGTCCAGGTTCTTGGACGTCCTAAACAAGAGTAGCAAGAATGAGTCACCCAAGAGTGAGTTACTTGAGAGAAAGAAGACAAAATATACTGTATATTTTGGGAGCAGGCCAGTGAGGAGAGCTCGCAGCACTGAGGAGATTTGGTGCTGAAGGTTTTAAGCCTTACTGTTTGGAGTGGGATGGCAGGTTTGGGCTGAAGTATGTGTATCTGTTAGGGTTTGCTAGAGGAACAAATTATATATATATAAAAGATTTACAAGGTAGGCTTATACTAGCCACCCGAAGTTGGGTGTGGAAGAATACATAAAGGGTATCAGCACACTGGAAAGCCAGAGGATCCCATCAAAAGTCAAAGGCCTGGGGCTCATTGCCGAGTCCCATGTTGGTCTGTACCAGGAAGCCAAAGGGTCTTATGTTGGAAGGCTAAAAACTCTGCCCTGGAAGCCTAGAGACTGACATCTGAAGGTGATGGTGAAGGCCGGAGCTCCTCCTCCAAAGAAGAAGCAAGACGTCCCTCTTTCCCTTTTTATTCCATCCAGGATACAAGCCTATTGGCTGGTACTACCCACCCAGGGTAGGTCTGACCTCCTCAGCAAGTCCACGTTCCAGACACACCCAGACCTGGGATAAACCAATCAGCTAGGCACTTCTTATTGAAGTTGACACCACAGTTAACTGTCACAGTACTACTCCAGACAATGACTGGCTTGACTCAGCTCCTTAGAGGAACTATAAGGGCATACAAAGGCTACAGGAAGATTAAATCTGCATCGTCAGTGACTTGGTTATTAGGGTTGAGTTGGCCAAGGCTTGCAGAAGACCACTGGGCCTGGGAGGGGGACTTACCTTGTATAAGCTAAATTACCTGGTTACCTGTTTCCATTGTATTTAAATGTGGATGTCCTGGTCCTGTTTAACTCAGAAGGTAATCTAATGACAGAAAGCAGGCTACATACAAGGTGGGCCTTCCCTTTCTATGCAGCTGTTTCATTGGTTACCTTATGCAGGCTTCAAGGCAGGTCAGCCTTCCCTTCTTTCTGAAGCCTTTTCCTTGGCTACCTCCTGCCTCCGTTTTTCACATCACAATAATATGTCATAGAGAGAAGTCTTGTTTCAGGCGGAGCAAGTGCCTAGAGTCTAAGGTGCCATGCTTTAGATCTAAGATGGCCCCCCACAACCTCATGTATGGAAGGTGATTGGATTATTTACTGCTAGGAAGTGGCACAGGTTGGAGGCAGGTCACCGGGGTTATGACCCGGAAGGAAATAGCTCCCTCCCCCGCTCTTCCCTTCTCTCTCTGATTTCTGGCCACCATGATATGAGCAGCTTTGCTGTGACCAGGCCCCTCCACTGTGCTGTTTCTGCTTTCGAGCCAGCCAAGCATGGACTGCAACCATGAATCAAAATAAACCTCTCCTCCTTCAGTTTGTGAGTGTTGGATATTGTGTCTCTGCGATGAGGGAAATGACTAAGACACAAGGAAAAGAGGAGAGCAGAGTCGTTACCTCTGATGGATCAAACAACCTGAAAGAAACAGCCCTGTTTCTGTTATCCGGGAGGTACAGGGGAAAGCTTTCTTTAACTCTGAATTATGCTTTAATTTTCTTTTTTTAATTAATTTTATTGGTACATTTACAGTCTACAATATAATGGCATTCACTGTTGGAAATTTGCACCTTTACGTAACCCATCTTGGTTCTGATTTTTCCCCCATTTCCCTGCCCTCCCTAATTTTCTTTTTTATAAACTCTGTTTAGGAAGAGATTGGTGCAGCAAAGAACTGTTTGCGCTGGGCCTCCTACTTACTATATTTCTTGGTGAAAGATCCTAGCGATACCATCTCCTCCTTGTCCGTGAAGTCCGCATTTGGTCTGCATCACACTGAGGCCTTAAAGAGATGTTTTCTGTACCCAAGAAGGCAGAGATCTGCAGCCCATGTTTCCTTGTCTAATTGTGACAGGACACATAACAATTTTCAGAAGACATTAATATGCTTTAACCTCTAAATGTTTGCATATATTTTGATATGTTAATTTTTTCATTAGAATTACTGCCTAATGAATAAAATATATTATGGTGGTATTAAAGCTAGTTGGAACGTAAGAATAATTTCACCACTTTCTTTTATAGTTTTTATTCAATTGGCAAATATCTGATGAATATCAATGGCTCTTGTCAGGGACCCCAATAACAGCACGTATTCTTGTGGTCTGTGCTCAATCATCTTGCCCAGCCTAACATAGCCTCTAAAATCATACTTCTTCCGCAGGGCCTTTGCACCTGCTGCTGTCTCTCTAAAACTTGATGTCATCTTAAGCCTTTCTTTTTCTTTCAAATGTACAATCCATCAGGAAATCTTGCGACTCAACCTAAAACCTATATCTAGCGTCTGACAACTTCTCATGCATTCCATCTCCAGCCCCATGCTGTCGTCATCTCTAGACTAGATTAATTCTACTATCCTCTTCTTTGAGCTCCCTCCTTTCAAGTTTGCTCCTCTATATCTAGTCTCAAAAAAAGCAGCTAACAGGAGTCTGTTAAAACTCGAATCGGATGAGAACAGTTCTCTGCTTAGACCCTCCAGGGTTCCCATCTTATCCAGAATCAAGGCTCAGCAGTTAAAAAGTCCTACAGTAGACCACAGATTATCTTACTCTATTTCCTCCTTGGGACTTGCCTCTTAGGGCACCATATCCAGCTCAGACGATGTCCATAAGTTCTCACCTCATACTCTTCTCCTGTAGGGCCTTTGCACCTGCTGCTGTTTCTGTGTGGATGCTCTACCCACACATTCCCACACTTTACAGCCACAATTCTTCTGGTATTCCTCAGCTCTTTTCTCAGGACAGTCTACACTGACCACCATATTACAAATATTCAGGTATTCCTATCCACATTTTCACCTTTATTTCTCTCTGTAGTATTTATCACTATTATACTATAAAATAATCCCACAATTTATTGTTTATTGTTTATTGTTTCTTTTCTTCCATCAGAATGTTAGCTTCGCGAGGGCAGTGATTTCACTTTTGTTTGCTTTACTCACCAATTCTAACACCTAGAACAGTACTTGGCTTATACTTGGCAATGGTTATTAATTGTTTCTGAATCGACGATGATTTTACACATTACCTTTCCAGGTACTAATGCACTGAAAACATATTTTGAGGCCTATAAACATAGATACAGGTAGTTTATATTTACATGCTGCACAGTATTATATTACATGGACATTTCACTGAGCTCCGTGCTATCAGATCATTTCGCATGTAGTCATCTTTCTTAATAGTAAAAATAATTGCCACCACTTGAGTACTTGTCACATGCCTTCTCTGAGACTTCTTTGCCTCTTGTTTGTCACTTCTGAGAAGTTTGGTACATGTTCGCCGCATTTTATTTGTGCATTTTGCCTGTATGGCTTTTTGTAAAAAAAAAAACTTCTTTGTCTTTCTTATTGCTTTTGGTCTTGTATGCTACTTTATTTTGTGTTGTCATTGTCAATGCAGTTTTGTTTTTCTTCTTCATTTACCTAAAAGCTTTGTTATTTTCGGCCTGTCTGGATAACTTGGTTTTAAACATGTCTGATATCAACAGCATAATAGTTGAATTGTCTTTTCTTTCTTTCTTTCTTTCTTTCTTTCCCCAGTACTGGGGATTGAACTCAGGACCTTACACTTGCAAGACAAGCGCAGTGCCACTACACTAAATCCCAGGCCCTGGATTGTCATTTTAAATGGACTGGATACTTCTGTTCCATTCCAAAGTGATTATGGCTTTAGGAAGTATTTTGTTCCTTTTAAATGCTGTTAGGATTTTTTTGATTTTCAGAGTAATACATATTGGTTATAAATCACAGATGCATGCATGTGCCCGGTGTTACTATTCAAGTAAAGAACTCAAAATTTTCCCTTTACTCCACCCCTGTAACCATGATTTCAGTTCCCAGAAGTATTTTACTGTATAAACTACCAGAATCACTCCCATGCGTATATGAGCATGTATGCACACAAATGTAAAATATACACATAAAATTCTAGAGATTATATATATATAT